CCCAGAATGGAAAAGGAGCCGGAACCCTAAGGTTTTTTTTTACCACTAGTACCTTCGCTTGTGTTGGGACAAAAGGGAAAAGTGGCAGTTTTCTGAACTCCTGAAAATTTGGAAGCCGGGCGTTACGACAGCTGCCATTGATAAATCTGATCGGCGGCCGTTGTTTCATTTCGGCCTCCTAAAAGGTTGAAGGCCCACCCGACGCCCGCTATTTTCCCACTCGGCGAAGGTACTATTGGTTTAAATCCGCACAGACGCAGGCCAGGGTCTTCACTTTTGGTCTAAGTCAAAATTGGGGTGTCAAAAGTCACATTTGTAGGGTTAGAGGGGTCTTAAGGAAATTCCTACTAGGGTCAATGGGTATACGGTCCACTGGTCCAGGCCTCCACCGTCAAATGAGGCAACTCGAGCCCCTGGTCATCTTGATAGTACGACGTCTGTTCTAGTCGGGGGTAGAAGACGGTATTCCACCACGAGGTCCTCTCTTTTTTTTTTTTTTTTTTGTTTGGTTGAGATAACTTTGCAGGAGGGGGTCACTTGAGGAGGTGGTACGAGCATCCTCCTCAAGTGGCCCCTCCGATGAAGGCTCCATCTATCGGTGGGGAGTTGCACCTGGTCTGGAAACCGGGTCCAGCGTCCCTGATATCACATTACAGAGTTGAGGTTGTCGACCACGAGGTCCTTTCTAACTAGCGTTCCTTTTTTCTTCTCTCCAGGTGGTGTTTCAGGGAGAGCGGTCGCTGGAGAACCTGATTGCCTTTGTAAGGAGGGAGGCCTCCATTCCGTTCACGCTGCCGACGGACTCGGACGCTGAGTGGGAGGAGCATCGGGGCCTTGAATCTGTCGCCGAAAGCGATGAAGCGGATGAGAGTACCACAGAAGCTGAGTCTCATGAATACACATCAAGATCTGTTGAGATGCCGCCGTCAAAGGCGTCATCAAGCAGCCGTGCCGACCCTAACGAGGGTAGCTGTGCTTCCCGTGACAACGATGATGGGGTCTGCCGAGCACCGTCGGATGCGGAGCAACAGTCGTAGTGCCAGTCAATCAAGTTTGAACTTTGAACAATAATTTTATTTATTGAGCTTTGCAGGGCTGCAGGAGTTGCAAATGCAGCGGTGCTTCGACACTTGTGCCAAGTCGGTCGAACAACCGAAGCGAAAGGAAGCAAAGGCTCTACCAAATAATGCGAAAGGCTTGGAATTGATGCGTCATTACGAAACTCCCGTGAGCACATTGTTGTGGACTAGCAGCAGTTATGGCAGGGGGGGGGGGGGGGGGGGGGGGGGGGGGGGGTTGCAGAACTGCATTGGACCAATGGTGGAACCAATGATGGGACCAAAAATAGGACGAACGATGGAACCAACAATGGGACCATCAACGGGACTAACAATGGGACCAGCAATGCGACCGACAACACGACCATCAGGGCCAACAATGGGACCAACCAACAACGGGACCAACAGCGGGACCAACAATGGGACCAACAACAGGACCAGCAACGGCACCAACAAGGGTACCAACAATGGGACCAACAATGGGACCAACAATGGGACCAACAATGTCACCAGCAACGGGACAAAGTGATCAGCAATGGGACTAACAATGGGACCAACAACGGGACCAGCAACGGCACCAACAAGGGGACCAACAATGGGACCAACAATGTCACCAGCAACGGGACAATGTGATCAGCAACGGGACTAACAATGGGACCAACAATGGGACCAACAACGGGACGAACGATTGGACCAACAGCCAGGTTGACAACAGGACCAATGATGGGACCAACAACGGGACCAATGATGGGACCAACGATGGGACCAATGATGGGGCCAACGAGTGACTGAGGATGGACAGCGGTGAGAAGGCGCCTTGAGGAACTGGAGTAGGAACACTGCTAATGTGCCTGCAGTGTCATGAACAGGAAGTGTTTTTGCAGTGCCTGAACACGCGGTCTTCTATTAGGCAGAGGGAGGACCAACAGTGGGACCAACAATGGATGCCAGTGTTTCTGTAGGCACACAAGAAGGGGCCCGGAAGAACAGGACAAGGAACACCGAGGATTCCGGCAGTTTGAGAAAACCGAGGGAACATTTGCATTTGCCTACATTGCGGTATTTGTTTGATCAGGATTGCCTGAACACTCAGTCTCCATGTCCACATGTCCCACACACGCATCACAAGCACACAAGCACACATCACACATCACACATCACACATCACACATGCATGACACATGTCACACGCGTCTCACATGTCACATGCCAAAATTTCGCATCCATGGCACATGCATGTCATGCTCATGTTACACACATGTCACACACATGTCATGCACATGCCGCACATGTCACACAAATCATGCATCGGTACGTTGCAAAAATCACACATCCTACATTTCACACGTGTGACATGTGCGATGCTCATAACGTAGGTCACACATGTCACACGTGTCTGACACGTTTCACAAATCATGCATCGGAAGTCGTTACATGTCACACGCGTGACACATGTGTCACACATATGCGATGCTCATAACATAAGTACCATGTGTTCAGACTTCACATACACGTCACACATGTCTCACATTTCACATGGCATTTGTCTATTGTGCTTGCATTGGTTATGTGGAGAAGTAATATCATACTGGGGAGGGAAAAAAAAAAAAAAACTAATATCAAACTGGGGAGGGAAAAAAAAAAATCATCATGGGCTATCTTGTGTATGAAAGCGCTGATGTCTGTTCCTAACAACTGTAACCTAGTTCTTTTCTTTTCTTTTCTTTTTTCTTTTTTTTTTCCTTTTCTTTCCTAGTTTATTTGTTTTTTGGGGAAGTTAATAATTATGCCCGTTCGTGGCGGACTTGAAATGGGATTGTTGCAGTTTGCTGTGGATGTGCGGATCGCTCTCGTGCTATGGACTCTGGAGTCCAAACACAGTAAGGGCATATTGAAACTAGGACCTTTTCTGTTTTGCTCTAGACCGTGATTATGTTCGGATGCATCCCCGTCTGGCCGTGATTGCAGTCCGATACATTTAGGAAGTCTTTGTCTGGTTTATGCTTCATTTGAGCTCTCCAAATTGTTCGCAGAAATGGATTTTTACGCTGGCACTATCACCGACCCAATGATTGCAGTTGCCTGGAGTTAGTTGCAGTTGACAAGTGAGATTATCTGCACTCAACAAAACGATTGCAGGTGAGTGTCATGCTCTCTCTCTCTCTCTCTCTCTCTCTCTCTCTCTCTCTCTCTCTCTCTCTCTCTCTCT